TCTCTGTTAAGACAAGCTGCAGCACCCTCGATAAGTTTTACTGTCTTGGTAAAACATTTGTTTACAAATCGCAAAAGCTGGCAAGGCACTTATCACCTAGTGCCTTGTAAAGAGAAACTTAGACTCAGTAAAACTCGGTAAAAACTCAGTAAAACTCAGTAAAAATAATTCTTGATATTTGATTATCATTATTATTCTCATACTGGTGCAAGTAATATTTATAATTATAATACCAGTACTGTACTGATAAAACAAACTTAATCAGTGCTCCGAGGCTTCAGTGGTGCCGTACTAACTTCATCCAGTGACCCAGCAAAAGGTGAGGGAAATATGGGAATGGAAATTTGGGAAATTCTGGGAACAAAATGGGGGAAAAATTTTCAGGAATGGAAAAATGAGATACTGTATTCTGGGATTGGAGAAAAGGGGAGTCCGGGAACAGAAAAGGGGGATTCTGGAATGGAATAAGAGGGATTCTGGGAATGTTAAAATGGGATTTTGGTAGTGGAAAAAAGGGATTTTGGTAGTGGAAAAATGGGATTCCAGGAGTGGGAAAAACAAGGATTTTAGGACTGGAAAAAAAGATTCAAGAGTGGGAAAAAACAAGGATTCCAAGAGAGAAAAAAAAAAGGATTCTAGGAGTGGAAAAAAAGGGATTCCTGGAGCAAAAAAATTTATATTTCATCACCCCTTACCTCACCGAATCTTATACAACTGTCTTAGTATCTCTGATATTTCAAACATATGCATGTGGAGAATGTGGATATTTCTCATTTTTTTTTTTTACATACAAGAGTTCTTACATTCTTGTAAAGCCACTAGGAAGCATAGCATTTCGAGGTCCTTAATCCTAATTTTTCCCCGAATACGACCCGCCAAATCGTTTAACAACCAGGTACCCATTCACTGCTGAGTGAACAGAGGCTACAGTTAAGGACTGGCGCCCAGTCAATCCTCCCCGGCCAGGATACAAACCCAGGTCAAAGCGCTGGGCGAGTGTTTTACCACTGCGCCACGGAGGCTGCTCTCAGTTAAATGCACACAACATAAGCAAGGTGACTTCTGCATCAAGTTGCATAAGGAATTGAATTGCATTAATTCATATTAATATTGTACAATGGCTAATGTACAACATCGGGTTGTTACAAGGTACAGGAAACCTTTTCGAGTTGTATGTGGCTCATGAGAAATACCACCATCTGAATACACAGTATGTCTAGGTCAATTTCATGTTTATTACATGCTGCTTTAGCTGCCAAACTTGTATTACAGGTATTATACTGAAGAATACCTATGTGAGATGGTATCGGAAAAATAGTTCCTGGGAGCGTAAAAAAATGGTTTCCAGGAGCAGACAAAAGAACTTTTGCATCTGTATCTCCTCTACTGGAGGGAATACAAAATTACTGTTCTGTATATGAATATGTTTGTTGATGATGCTGACTTTAGCAAAAATAAAAGACTTGAATGATTTCCATGTCCTAAGATGACCTTGACAAAAGTAAATAAGTAAAATACAGCAGACTGAATTCAACGTGAATAAATGCCATATTATGGAATGTGGAGCAGGGAAAACAGGTGACAAGCAACCCCACAAATTATGTAAAAAATATATTACAGAACTCAACCCGAGGAAGAGACCTCGGGGTGGTTCTGGAGAGTAAGCTATCACCATAGTACCACATCTTTTGAGAGAAACCTACCCTATGCTTTTAAACTTCAGAAACATTTTTAAATATAGTACAAAAACACTATCCTCATAATTAGGAATGAGGAATCCTCATAATTAGGGATTCTGGGTTCGAATCCCCGGTGGGGCAGAAATGATTGAGCGTGTTCCTTTCACCTAATGCCTCTGTTCACCTAGCAGTAAATAGGTACTTAGGAGTTAATCTGGGTACCTATTGTTGTGTGGGTTGCATCCTGGGGAAAGTCAGTAATTCAAACCTTGGGGGGGGGGGGTCAATACAAGCCTAATGCATATACGTACAGAGGTTGCCTGTACCCCCAACAAAACAAATTACTGGGTATTTTGACCAGACTACACACTAGAAGGTGAAAGGACGACGACGTTTCACAATCGACTTGAGAATGGTCCAGGACGGACTGAAATGTCATCGTCCCTTCACCTTCTAGTGTGTGGTCTGGTCAACATACTTCAGCCACGTTATTGTGATTCCTCGTCTGCAAATTACTGGGTATTTTAAATTTAAAGAAGATGGTTGATGCCAACACCATCTGCGGTTTCAAAGCATCATATGACAAAGATTACAGAGAAGACAGGGCACCTCGAGCATAGCTCTCATCCTGTAACTAGACTTTGGTACTGTAATTACACTTGGGTAATTAGTCTCTCACACACACACACACACAAACACACAACTAGGTGAGTACACAAGGAGAGTCAGGGACTTTGATGACTTTACTGCTCTCGAAAATGACCTAGACTAAATAAATGTGTGGAGTAACACATGGAATATAGAATTCAATAAAAATAAGCATTCCATAATGGAATCCATAATATGGGATAACAAGTCACAGGTCACCTACAAATTGTTTAAAGATATTAATAAGAACATATGAAAAGGAGAGAGATCTACGAGGGGTTCTGGATAGCTGTAGTCTGTGGACCACATAAAGATCATTATGAGGAGAAAATGCTATCAAATTTCCAAACCATGTTTAAATATGTGGATTGGAGAAATATTAAATAAACTGTTGAAACAATTATAGCAGTTCAGTATACAGCATTAAACTATAGAGATAAGTGTGTAAAAACCTCAAGCAATCTACCTCGACATACAGTGCACCAAATATTTTATTTTTTATTTTTGAAAGAGGTGGGGTGGGGGGGGGCACCTAATGTAAATCTTACTAGGTTTGGTTAGGTTAAGCAGAGTACATGAAGCCAATTCACACCTACCATTTTTCTCATAATAGATAACAAGATTTTCCATATCTAAATAAGTGGTGGATGAAGAATCTAGGTCTATGATTATCGCCTCAGCAGCCAGATAATCATAAAATTATGTGGGTTCTATGTACAGATAGAGGGTGTAGTATAGATGGTCCCGGTAGTACAGTCGGGTTCGTTCTCGACGCACGATTGAGAATTCCGGGGTATGAGTCCTGACTTTTAATCAATTAATTTAATCAATTCCATTTCCCTGGAATGGATTGCATTCCAGGGAAAATTAATAAGATACTGTATCTGCTTCTGTATATGTCAATGTAAAACATCTTTTTTTTTTTTTTGGCAAAGTTTTTATTCACTTTTTTTTAGCATATGTACTATTAAGTGAAATAAGGTTAGGTTTGGGGTTGATTAAATTATGCAGAATGTGAGTAGGTCATATGCTGTTTGATATTTGTCTCTCATTCACAAAAGAAGAGATTTTCTGTAAGAAATAATGAACCGATACACAGCATATTTTTCCAAAGATTATGGGCTCGGTAGCTAATCAAACATAACATTCATGAATTTTAATGCAATTGAATAATGTTAGCCCTCAAGTGATAGGGTGCTAGTGTGCCGATCAGTGCCCCATAATATAATTATAATAATAATTCAAATATAATATCCAAAACACCCACCAAATTTATGTTGATGTCAACGAGCACTAGAGACCCCTGGCAATCGTTTGCTATATTGAAAAAAAACCTGAAAGTCTAGTTTCCTTCCTGGACCCTAGTAAACAGATGGGCACCATGTTAAGTCTATTGTCCAACACCCCATGCTCAAAACCATTGATGCCTTGACAAATTTCAAGGGAATTTATCGACAGGGAAGATATTAGTGATGAGGAGAAATCTATTGCAAATAGGTAATTGTAAAATTACCCCTCAGAATTTGACACAAAATTCTTCACAGTACTGCCAAACTATAATGAGTAGAATTTTTGTTCTATTTTCCCTAACATCAATAAACAATATTTTATGACAAATAACAATTAACAAATTTGCACGAAATGCTGTGGGTATTAGTGGCTTTAGGTATAGTATGTACTAGCTCTATCTATAAATCCAACATTATGTTTGTAACTCATCTTCAATGTATGTTCTTTTACCCGAATAAACATTTAAATTTGATTATGAAAAATTACGTACATCAGGAAATCTACCTAATTCTTCATGTGTGCTTAAGGGGTTAGTGTGTTACAAGTTTGAAGAGAAAATACTGTACTAAGAGTTTAACCGGTATTGTTACATTATATGAGGAGAGTTGGAAACTCCAATTCACAGAGCAAATGGTTTAAACAGGAATTTGCCAGATGTAATAAAAACACCATCTAACCCACAATACATCAATACATTACCACATGTATAACACATTGTTCAGTGCAGAGCTACAACACAATTACCAACTACAAAGTTAATAAAACAACTTTTTATGGATAAGCCAAGCACTTTGCAAAACCCTTGTCAACAAAATGATGAGAAGCTGCCACAAACTGGGTGACTTGAGATATATACAAGAGTTGTTACATTCTTGTACAGCCACTAGTACGGGTAGCGTTTCGGGCAAGTCCCTGGAATACGATCCCCGCCGCGAAGACTCATTGTTACAACCAAGTACCCATTTTACTGTTGAGTTAAACAGAGGCTACAGTTAAGGATTTGCGCCCAGTAAATCCTCCCCGGCCAGGATACGAACCCATGACAAAGCGCTCGCGGAACGCCAGGCGAGTGTCTTACCACTACACCACGGAGACTGGTGTAGACTTCAAAACTTCATGCAAGATACAGATCACGGTATTATCCAAAACATCCTTACAATTATAGTCTATGAATACCATAATAAACTTATCAGCTTAACTATCTCTTGATATACTACATTCATATACTAAAAAATGTAATTATTTACTATAAGCTAACCATAAGAATAAGTCCCTCAAACCAACAACAATAACAAACTAAACCTCTCTTTCTATGCAGTTTTAACATAGAGAAGTAAGTTAGAATTATTAGCTTTAAACGCCCAGAAATAATCGATCACTTACAATATATTCCCTGACTGTGTTGTTGAAGTGGATCTCATCCTCGAACGGGTCCTTGAGCGGCTCGTCTGGCAGCAATTCACTTATGTTTTTTATGTGGCCCATGTTCCTGTGGTCATGATTCCCGCGGGTTGGTCACAACACATGGTTTACCGAGCGCGTCGCGAGCCTTGCGTGGCTCTCACCACATCCTCCCCACCACAACACTGAACCAACCTTCCATCTTGACCCTATGTCTCTTGCCTCCGCCTCACTATTACCACCACCCCAGCGCCTCGCTCCCTCACTCAACTCCCACCTCACTACGTGCTAAGCATCCAGAAATTAAACCTCCTGTAGTTATTATTCTGATTGTATTTGTGATTTATGCATTACTAAACTTGCTGAAATCCTGTACAATTTTTTTTGTACTAATCATTACGGGTTTTATATTTGTATATTACTACACGGTTTTCATGTGAGTTGGCTGTATTGTATAACTGTTTACGATTATATATAGACGAAAGAAAGCGTGATAAAACAAAATAACATCAAAAATTTAATAAGAATCAACTTATACATTAAGTTTATCAAATACTTTATTTTGTACTGTTTGTATACTCATATCACCATATAAAATCCAACTCAAATGCTTTATTGTGGTAAACAAAACAAGTGGTGCCATAAAATCATATTCTGAATAATAATAATATAATTTTCCTCTTAGAATTTCATAACGGGATAAAGAGGGGAACAAACGCACCAAGAAGGCCTCGTAATATGACCAAGACCAACACCACAGCTTTAAAATATATCAATAAGATCCACAGGTCTCTGTGAGGATGATGGGGGGGGGGGTAGGGGGGAGGAAGGGGGAAGGGGGAGTCTGATAACAAAGAAAACGGAAACTAGACTCAGCGTCACACATGCGATCCTTGATATAAATCTTTGTTTAAAAAATAATATGATTCTCATGCTGCGTTTTCACAATAACTGTTTTTTTTTAAATTGGCACAGACGTATCATTGGCACTTATGTTAATGACACTTTGCAAGATCCCTTTGTAATATATTAATTTGCTTAAAGGCTCAGTTATAATTCATATAGGATTAGGCAAATGATAGATAGACCTACCCTTCATAACCACATATATAATAATATTATACAGCAGAATGATACTCAGGATATCATCCTGTGAGCGGTAGTTACTTGTGCACCCCCCATATTCATCCTGTGAATAGTAATCTTGTATTCACACTATACTTATTAATTTCTGATCAGGGGGAGAAAGATACTGGCAGTATGGGGCTTTAAATTTATTGAAGATTAAATTCTGCAGAACATGTAAATATATAACGTTTCAAATATATAAAGTAAGTAAATATATAAAGTTTATATTAAAATATATAAAGTTTATATTAAAATATATAAAGTAAATATATAAAGTAAGAATTAACAGTAACAATTCCAAGTCCTCGGACTAGATTTAAAGTGGTAGTTTATTGTGCACCCCATACTCATCTTGTGAGTAGTAGTTTATTGAACACCCCATACTCATCTTGTGAGTGGTAGTTTATTGTACACCCCATACTCATCTTGTGAGTGGTAGTTTATTGTACACCCCATACTCATCTTGTGAGTAGTAGTTTATTGTACACCCCATACTCATCTTGTGAGTGGCAGTTTATTGTACACCCCATACTCATCTTGTGAGCAGTAGTTTATTGTACACCCCATACTCATCTTGTGAGTGGTAGTTTATTGTACACCCCATACTCATCTTGTGAGTGGTAGTTTATTGTACACCCCATACTCATCTTGTGAGTGGTAGTTTATTGTACACCCCATACTCATATTGTGAGTGGTAGTTTATTGTACACCCCATACTCATCTTGTGAGTAGTAGTTTATTGTACACCCCATACTCATCTTGTGAGTGGTAGTTTATTGTACACCCCATACTCATCTTGTGAGTAGTAGTTTATTGTACACCCCATACTCATCTTGTGAGTGGTAGTTTATTGTACACCCCATACTCATCTTGTGAGCAGTAGTTTATTGTACACCCCATACTCATCTTGTGAGTGATAGTTTATTGTACACCCCATACTCATCTTGTGAGTGGTAGTTTATTGTACACCCCATACTCATCTTGTGAATGGTAGTTTATTGTACACCCCATACTCATCTTGTGAGCAGTAGTTTATTGTTGTACACCCCATACTCATCTTGTGAGCGGTAGTTTATTGTACACCCCATACTCATCTTGTGAGTGGTAGTTTATTGTACACCCCATACTCATCTTGTGAGTAGTAGTTTATTGTACACCCCATACTCATCTTGTGAGTGGTAGTTTATTGTACACCCCATACTCATTTTGTGAGTGGTAGTTTATTGTACACCCCATACTCATCTTGTGAGCAGTAGTTTATTGTACACCCCATACTCATCTTGTGAGTGGTAGTTTATTGTACACCCGATACTCATCTTGTGAGTGGTAGTTTATTGTACACCCCATACTCATCTTGTGAGTGGTAGTTTATTGTACACCCCATACTCATCTTGTGAGTGGTAGTTTATTGTACACCCCATACTCATCTTGTGAGTGGTAGTTTATTGTACACCCCATACTCATCTTGTGAGTGGTAGTTTATTGTACACCCCATACTCATCTTGTGAGCAGTAGTTTATTTATTGTACACCCCATACTCATCTTGTGAGTGGTAGTTTATTGTACACCCCATACTCATCTTGTGAGTGGTAGTTTATTGTGCATCCCATACTCATTTTGTGAGTGGTAGTTTATTGTGCACCCCATACTCATCTTGTGAGTGGTAGTTTATTGTACACCCCATACTCATCTTGTGAGTGGTAGTTTATTGTACACCCCATACTCATCTTGTGAGTGGTAGTTTATTGTGCATCCCATACTCATTTTGTGAGTGGTAGTTTATTGTGCACCCCATACTCATCTTGTGAGTGGTAGTTTATTGTGCATCCCATACTCATCTTGTGAGTGGTAGTTTATTGTACACCCCATACTCATCTTGTGAGTGGTAGTTTATTGTGCATCCCATACTCATTTTGTGAGTGGTAGTTTATTGTACACCCCATACTCATCTTGTGAGTGGTAGTTTATTGTACACCCCATACTCATCTTGTGAGTGATAGTTTATTGTACACCCCATACTCATCTTGTGAGTGGTAGTTTATTGTGCATCCCATACTCATCTTGTGAGTGGTAGTTTATTGTACACCCCATACTCATTTTGTGAGTGGTAGTTTATTGTGCACCACATATTCATCTTGTGAGTGGTAGTTTATTGTGCACCACATACTCATCTTGTGAGTGGCAGTTTATTGTACACCACATACTCATCTTGTGAGTAGTAGTTTATTATGCACCCCATACTCATATTGTGTGCAGTAGTTTATTGTGCACCACATACTCATCTTGTGAGGGGGTAGTTTATTGTGCACCACATACTCATCTTGTAAGCGGTAGCTTATTGTGCACCCCATACTCATCTTGTGAGCAGTAGTTTATTGTGCACCCCATACTCATCTTGTGAGTGGTAGTTTATTGTACACCCCATACTCATCTTGTGAGTGGTAGTTTATTGTACACCCCATACTCATCTTGTGAGTGGTAGTTTATTGTACACCCCATACTCATCTTGTGAGTGGTAGTTTATTGTGCACCCCATACTCATTTTGTGAGTGGTAGTTTATTGTGCACCCCTCATCTTGTGAGTGGTATTTATTGTGCACCCCATACATCTTGTGAGTGGTAGTTTATTGTACACCCCATACTCATCTTGTGAGTGGTAGTTTATTGTACACCTCATACTCATCTTGTGAGTGGTAGTTTATTGTGCACCCCATACTCATTTTGTGAGTGGTAGTTTATTGTGCACCACATATTCATCTTGTGAGTGGTAGTTTATTGTGCACCCCATACTCATCTTGTGAGTGGTAGTTTATTGTGCACCCCATACTCATTTTGTGAGTGGTAGTTTATTGTGCACCACATATTCATCTTGTGAGTGGTAGTTTATTGTGCACCACATACTCATCTTGTGAGTGGTAGTTTATTGTACACCCCATACTCATCTTGTGAGTGGTAGTTTATTGTGCACCCCATACTCATCTTGTGAGTGGTAGTTTATTGTGCACCCCATACTCATCTTGTGAGTGGTAGTTTATTGTACACCCCATACTCATCTTGTGAGTGGTAGTTTATTGTACACCCCATACTCATCTTGTGAGTGGTAGTTTATTGTGCATCCCATACTCATCTTGTGAGTGGTAGTTTATTGTGCACCCCATACTCATCTTGTGAGTGGTAGTTTATTGTGCACCCCATACTCATTTTGTGAGTGGTAGTTTATTGTGCACCACATATTCATCTTGTGAGTGGTAGTTTATTGTGCACCACATACTCATCTTGTGAGTGGTAGTTTATTGTACACCCCATACTCATCTTGTGAGTGGTAGTTTATTGTACACCCCATACTCATCTTGTGAGTGGTAGTTTATTGTGCACCACATACTCATCTTGTGAGGGGTAGTTTATTGTGCACCACATACTCATCTTGTGAGTGGTAGTTTATTGTGCACCACATACTCATCTTGTGAGTGGTAGTTTATTGTGCACCCCATACTCATTTTGTGAGTGGTAGTTTATTGTGCACCACATATTCATCTTGTGAGTGGTAGTTTATTGTGCACCACATACTCATCTTGTGAGTGGTAGTTTATTGTACACCACATACTCATCTTGTGAGAGGGTAGTTTATTGTGCACCCCATACTCATCTTGTGAGTGGTAGTTTATTGTGCACCACATACTCATCTTGTGAGTGGTAGTTTATTGTACACCCCATACTCATCTTGTGAGTGGTAGTTTATTGTACACCCCATACTCATCTTGTGAGTGGTAGTTTATTGTGCACCACATACTCATCTTGTGAGGGGGTAGTTTATTGTGCACCCCATACTCATCTTGTGAGTGGTAGTTTATTGTACACCCCATACTCATCTTGTGAGTGGTAGTTTATTGTGCACCACATACTCATCTTGTGAGGGGGTAGTTTATTGTGCACCCCATACTCATCTTGTGAGGGGGTAGTTTATTGTGCACCACATACTCATCTTGTAAGCGGTAGCTTATTGTGCACCACATACTCATCTTGTGAGGAGTAGTAGTTTATTATGCACCACATACTCATCTTGTGAGTAGTAGTTTATTATGCACCACATACTCATCTTGTGA